CTGAAGCTCATAGCATTCTACGTACACTGATATATGTACATTTGGGGATTTAAAGCAATCATATGAAATAATATCCTTGAATAGAATTTTAAAATTGAAGCTATGAATAAGAATGGTGTTGGAGGTATCTTAGGAACCTTCTAAGTTAATAGATTAATTTTGAATGAGTCTAAATGAAACAGATCAAAGAAAAAGAAAATACTTGTATAGTAACTGGCTTCCTGGACATAAAATATAGACTCGAAGATGGCAAAGGTGAGACAGTTGAATATAATGTCAAGAAGGAAAAAGAGGTAAATGCTTATAAATTGAAGAGAAGCCATGAATTATTATACAATACATTTTAAAGACTGTCTCCCCTCACTATGAAAGAAATAGCCTTTGTCCCAATGGTATTTTGGTAATATCTTCCAGCAGCTGGAAAACTTGTTGCCATTATCATATTAAAGCTCCTCATACTCTTGAAAAATACATTATCAAGTGTATGTACAGGGGAAAGTCAAAAGATAAAACAACCAGTCCATTTTTAATAATATAGAGATTGGGATCATAGAGTGAGAACCCAGAGGGCCTAGATTTGAATTTCCAACAACTTACAAATTACTAGCTGTGTGATTCAAAGAGCAATTCTTAACCAAGGAGTGCCTTTATTTCTTAATATTAAAAATGAACATAATAGTAAATCTTTCTCATACGGTTGTCGAGGAGGATGAATGAATTAAATTTGTAAAATCTTTGAAAAAGTCCCTGATACAGAGCAAATGTTCAGAAAGTGTTAGCTATGATGAAGATGATGACATTGATGGTGATGGGGGAGGTGGTAGTGGTAATGTTGAAGATGGTTAAATATGATGCTTGCCTATTACAATCTTTATTTCTCCTTTGGAATGGTGTCCTTAAAAAAATTTAAGCATATGGGCATCAATCCAAAGTACCCCTTAAGTGATTTTTTTTGAAAACTCTTCCTTTCTAAAAATAATGGTTTCAAGTAAGCAGATGCCTCTGGGGTATCCATTTCATCTTAGTTCAGTTGATAAAATTTGAATTTTCTTAAAGTGTCTCCAGGATATCTTACATGTAAAATTCACAAGTTGCCTTTTTGCCAGATTTGCCTTTTCCTTGATCTGGATCTCAATGCAGATTTATCCTGCTATGTCATTTATCTACTAGACCACAAAATGTTCTTCTAAATGGGATCTGCCCAGCACCTTTCTCACCACCTCAACAAGTGACTCTTCTTTAAATAAACACAATTTTACCACAAGGGATCAATGTTCATAGTAGCGAAGCTCCCTTTGGGGCCAAGAAAACCTTTCTATTTATGCATAAAGTCTTCTTTGATTTCTTTCAAAGTGGAGTTCTTATTTCAAAGCATTGAATTTCTTTGGGAGGAATTATCCAGCTCGTCTAAGTGAATCATCATTTTTGTACCATTAGAGAAAGTAAACATTTTCTCCAAACAATATATGCAGTGAAAAGTTAGTATTACTGGTAATCAGAGGCCAACTATAGAACTGGTTGAGTTATTTCATGAAGAGTAGAATACTAACTAGTACATGTTGTGTTGGATAAATTCAAGGATATAAATTGGCATTTCGTGAGAATCTCTCTGTAGAGAATAGCAGACTAACTCTGGAGTCACAGGCCTCTGTTAACACTTTGGGCATTCAGTAAATTCATTATGGATCCTGGGCGTGTAGTTTGCTACTTTGGAGAAGCCTATGAACCCAGAGAGGCTATAGTTGGGCTAGAAAAATGGTGCAGTTGTTTGGGATTCGCTGAGTTGCTCTCTGAGGCTGGAGTTTAGGGTGCTGGTCTGCAAACTCAGAGAGGGCTTGATAGAGAAGGTGACTGGATGAGCACCTTCCCTGACAAGGAGATGCTGGGGTGAACAGTTGGAGCATACTTTTCCTGTTGGTAAATCCCAGCATGCTGAGTGATGTTGTCAGGGCAGATGGCTTTGCACCTTCTGCCTCCTTTAAAGGGCCTAGAGAGCCTCTTTTCATGGGAGGCTCAAGATGTGTTTGTAAAGAGGCATTGTGGTATGTATTAAAATAATAATAACATTCTTATAAGCATTCTCTCTATATATTATCTCATTTAATCCTCATCTAAGCCCTGTTCCTTTCCCCACATTTAACATGATGAAAGTGTCAGGGATGTAAAGTAATTTACCTAAGATCAAACATCAGTCTGTGTCTTGAGCCAATGCTCTAAATTATGGTTGGCAATACCTTTTGTGAAAAGAACAGTATATGGACAGTAATGATGATATCAGAGAGTATTTATATATGTACTGTGTACACCACACTTCAGGCATATTGGTTCTTGTTCACCAACCAGGAAGCTCTCTGAACTCCATTGTTTAGGGGTTTTTATGAAGGTTTCATTATGTAGGCATAATTGGTGAAAATCATTCTCCATTTGGTGATTAAATGAATCTCCAGCCCTCTCGTCATTCCCTGTAGCTCCAGGGATGGGTTAGAAGTGCCAAGCTTCTAATCACATAATTGGTTCCTCTGGCAATCCTGAGGCTATTTGGGGGTCCACAAAAAGTCACCTCATTAGCATAAATTCAGGAAGGGTTGAAAGAGGTTTGTTCTAAAAAATAAAAGACACTCCTCTCACCCCTATCACTCAGGAATTCCAAACATTTTGAAACTCTTGTGCCAGGAACTGGGACAAAGACCAATTATATATTATCATAATATCGTGCTTCTGTAGTAAAATTTTTAAAACCATAACATATCTATACAAGCATGCATTTTTGCATCTCTTTAATGATGGACATTTTAATAAGCATTTCATACTTGTGTCTATTTAAAACCACATTAGATATATTAATTAAACTGAATATTAGAGCTGAGAAAACTGCCTTTTGTGCAAATTATTTATGGAGGATTTTAATCTCTTTTAGTGAGATTAAAGTGCTCTTTTCTCTAAGATTATATGTAAGCTATTTCAGCTGGCAAAGCATGTTAAAATGCATGGAAGGGAAGATTTCAATATTTAGACATTTAAAATGCATTGGAATTTGGAGATCATGTGGATTCTAACTCCAAGATTCTTTCCTAAATAACTCAAAAACATATAATAAGAGATGTTTTGTTGTTGCTTTTAAGGTACTTGGAGACATTTTTAAGATGGCAAATTCAGTCTTGCTCCTGGCACAAACTTTCATATGAACATTAATGGGATTTTAAAATTAACATCTATAATGTAAAAATGAGCTTTGCCTTGTATGCTTTGCATTTGATTACAATTTTTCTCCTCTTAATTTTCTCTTTTCATTCTGAGTATGTTTGCAACAATACAGCTATTGCTGTATTTTTTCATTTTCACGAATCATTGGTGAGGATCATGGAGAAAAAAGAAGATTGGGAATTCCTCACTAATCCTCCCAAGAGAAAACATTCCTACTCTCATATGAGGTCCCACCCCCATCTTCCCCATTTCTCCCTACATGGATTTCCAGGCCTTTCATGTACTTCAGTGCTGCTTGCAGGTTCCAAAAACATTGCCATGTTGTCTGCCCCTCCCTCCAGCTTCACCCATGTGATGGTACAATCAGAAGACAGAGTCAGTGCCAGTTCCAGGTGCTTAGAAATGTGAACACATGCACAGAAGAAAGCTATTTGCCTAAGTAGAGTTTTCAGCACTCCCCATCCGCCTCCTTCATGGAGAAGATTACATTTCTTTTCTTCTAAACTAGAAATATAGATAAAAAGTAAAGCTTCATGGCCAAAATGTAGTCTTTGCCAATAGTTGTAAAAATCATTGAGTTCTGGAGGGCTGCACAGCCTACCCCAGCTTCCCACAGTGAGAAAGGCAAGATTCCCAGGAACAGCAGAGGAAAAACTCCTCGGTAGGGAAAGGTTACTTACTACCAAGGAGCCAGATCTAAGAAGGGCCAGGCCATCTGTTTCTACTGGCGGAGAGATAGGGTCAGCATCAGGATAAGATGGCAAAGGGGCTAATCATAAGGGACAGAAATCAGGTGTAAGTTCTTTGCCTCCAGAGGACAGAGGTCAAGAGAAAAGCAGGTTGTTTCTGAGAGTTGCTCCCCCACTTGTTAGGTGGGGAATGCAGAAGGCAGATTTCAGATGTTTTTACTGGGCCCACTGAAGCTCACAGGCTACAAAATAAGACCATGTGATGATCAAGTTGGTTGCTGTTTTCAGCAAGTCTGCTTTAAAAAGTCAAACATAAATCTTCATGGTAGGAATTCTGATTCTAGGAATGTATCCAAATGAAATTAATAAAAAATGTGGCCATGGATTTATGGGTAAGTCGTGGCTCCGTAAATGACAGAACATTCATCACGATCACAGAACTGTCAGCAACATCCACTTAGTTAGTGAATCCTGTTTGCCCTGTATAATCTCAGTTAATTTCTACAATATCCCTGTGAGATGGGTATCATTATTCAAAATCTAAAGATAAGAGACCAACAGATGTTGAGCAACTCACCTATAGTCACACAACTACCAAGTTTCAGAGCCCATTTGAATCAGTTCTGTTGGCCTCTTGAAAGTCATCCTGCCCTTCCTCTGCAGGTCTATTCCAGCACTTCTCAAACTTTTACATCCTTGGAAATTATTGAAAACCTCAAGTAGCTTTTCTTCATGGGACTCTATTTCCATTTCCCACATTAGGAATTGAAACAGAATTTTTAACAATATCATTTCATTCTACTAAAAGAATAATAACTATTACACATTTAAATATTTTTATAAAAAAGTTTCTAAAACAAAAAAATCAAGTGAGTGGCATTGATTTGCATTTTTATGTATCTCTTTCACATCTGGCTCAAATTTATTTAGTTAACAGAATTTTATTTGAAATCTCTTTGATAAAATGTTAAGTAGAGTTCTAAGGCCATAAGGAGTGTGTATCACATATTGATAACATGATTTTGCTTGCAGACATTTTACTTGGCAGATTTAACTACTTTTACATTGTAGTCAATGTTTCCTTTAAAAATATTTTATATCTCACAGGGCAAATCATACAAATTCAGGGGCCCATTACCACCCATGTGGAATCCAATTACCTACCTAGACCATAACAACCTTTGGCGGACAATTGATGACATGGGACAAGAGGTAAAGCTTTTCAGAGCTTCTGTGATTACATTTGTATTTTTCATAAGTTTAATCCTTAAAAGAAAGGAGATGCAACATATCATCAATGCCTAGCACATTGTGTAGCACATAGTAACTCTCAGTAAAGATTTGTGAAATGAATAACATGAACTTGTTTCTAACCTCTTAAAGAATGAGATACCCAACAGATTGCTATTTGTATATTACTTGTGAAAGGGGAGAAGATCATATATTACTCTCCCTTCCTGGAATAATGTTTCTAATCTAGAAAATCCTCAGAACATAACAAAACAAGACTTCCAGGTATTTGAGTCACTACCCTGTTCAAACCAGTAACCCACAAGAAAATACACACAGAGCTTGACCTGAAACTCGGGTTTAGATGTGATTTGGTATGGCTGTCTAATCCTTACTGAGGAGATGAACTTATAAATGTTCTCCTTAAATAAATAACTTCCTAATTGCTATTTGGAAACAAACCGATTACAACATAGCCTTCATTTACTGTGCAGAAAGTATTATCATAAATTAAATATGGATCATGTGGTATAGATCAATAATAGAAAAGCTACACAGACAGCATTGGATTTGTAGCAAAAGTCACGATTGGGGGATTTGAAAAACTTACATTTTCCTTCTTTAAGTTAGAGTTTTTAATACT